AAATACGTCTCGGACTCAGTGCTAGGCTATCACCTCCGCTCGCTGAAGAGTGGTGTAGGATGGTGACCAGGAGGCGAGGCCTCCTTTTATACGGAAGTGAGATGCGCACGCATTCAGGTAGGCCCGCCCCGGGGCCGGCTACGTCTATAGAAATCTCAGTAGGTGAATGCTTGCATAATAAGGTAGTACCCATAGAGTCCAGTAGAGGGCTCCGCCTGTGTTAATATAACAAGGGTTACAATACGTAACCCGGCGTTAGTAGCATCTTCAGGCAGCCATATATATTCTGAAAATAGCAATATGACACATGCAGTAATGACTTTTCCAAAACCACGCAAAGAAATCGAGAGTTGATAAAATGCCGGACTCTTCTCCGCCTTCATCAGAAGTTGAAATGTGACACTTAAAACGGAAAAGCATTGGCGTGATGATGTGACTAAACATTCTACTTTAAGGATTTTAAAACAGGTTGAAACACTTAAGATCTGACAGATAATTCCTTTGAAATGTACATCGTCTCCTCAACATTTAAATGCGTCAGAGTTCAGATTCAGATACAGACTCTCTACCCGGGTTGACTTACAGTGTCTTCCTCCAGGACACTTCAGCAGGTCTTCTGCTCTCAAACGCTTGTACGTGCACAATGTTTTCATTATTCATTTCCCCACCTTAGTTACCTGTAGGTGAAGCTGCATTATCTGCTGTGGCAGCCTCATATCGCTGCTGACCTTGAACTGTCATTTATTTCAAACACAACCCCCCCATCCTGCCCACCTCTCCACAACCAATAAGATACCAAATGACCTTAATTAATGGCATTTCACCTCCTCTGCATTTCCCATCAGTCTCTGTGAATCCCCCCCGGAGCTCTCATGTGCCCAGAAACATTAAATATTCATATCTCCATCATTTTAATATTTAAGTCAATCAAATGGATTGCACTAGATAGAACTAACATCAATTATCTTTGCAGAGATAGGGAGATTTATTTAGTGTGATGAGTGACAGGTGGGGAAACATAAGGCTGGATGTCTGCAGATCTCATTCTTCTTTCATTTTTTTTTTGACGACAATGAGTCTTTCAACTCTTCCTTTGGCTTGAAAGAAAATTCTTGGCACATGTGATGAGGAGTTTTGAGGAAGAGATATCCAGTCTTCACAAAAGGTGTCACAAAGTTGCTGACAACATCGGAATTACAAACTGTTTTGCTATCGAAAAGATTGTTGTGGATGAAATGTCTTAAAGAGCACACATTTTTTTTATGTTATGACAATGAGCTTCACATGTTGTAATGTTTTGGCTTCTGCTCTACAGCCTGAATTAAGGCTGTGTTGTTGCACATATTCAAAATCAAAGCCACACATTGAAATGATATGCGCTTCTTTTACATCGAGAGGATGTACGATATCTCCGTCGGGAAACATTTTTGTTCGATTTTAGCAGTTGACCCTGAAAAAGAATGGGCTCTTTCAATTATTCAGTATACTGATTCATTATATTGCTTATCCGATGTATTTAGTATCTGAACTGACTGGTTCACTTCCTTGTGGTAATAAATCAAGGATATACACAATATATGCTGGATTAAATCAGGATCCTGCAGTGATGATCCTAGGAGCTTAACTGTTCTTTACAGAAGCTTCCCAATGAACTTCATTTGTTTTCCTCCCCTGTGTATTGGAAAAGTTAAAAATTAATTCTCGGGATATTGAGAAAATATAAAATATTTCTGATCAAATACCTTTGAGTCGATATATAGCTTTAATTATTTGTGCTTTTGCAAAATATGTCCACTATTAGATATGATGACTAAGTAAAATCAGCTAAAAACTTTTCCTGGAAACAGGGAAAATACACTTTTAAAATATTATTAATAATCTAAAACAATAGCTTGTCTTGTATCACAATATAAAAATAATATTGGTACATTTCCAGGACCTAGTGTAAATGTGTCTCTTTTTGTGTGCATTTTAACATTTGTTTTGCTCCTGTGAAAAGCAATGCCTTTATTTCTTTTTGGCACGTACATATTTATTGTTGTAATAATGATTTTGATCACAAGAGGCTGTTGTGCATCACTTTCCCATTCTAAAGACGATCAAAAACGTTAATAACTCAGTCCTACATTCATGATGGAATAGAGAATGAGGGTTGTTTTTCTTAAAAGGAGGACTGCTAACAGTTTTAAGGTCACATGAAATATGTTTTAAACATGCATACATACTTGTAGCTCTGATTTGTAACATACAAGGTGGAGGCGTGTGGAACAGTGGGTTGTGCGTTGGTGTTCGGATCAGGGGAGCACAGGTTCAAACCCCACTGCAGTCAGCATGTCGTTGTGTCCCTGAGACACTTCACCCCAAATTGCTCCTGTGAGGATTGCCCACAGTATTGAGTATGTAAGTTGCTTTGGATAAAAGCGTCTAACAAGTGACATGTAATGTAATGTAATATAAGAATCACATATCATCAGTTCTTATGTTAATAAGCATTTGATTGAACACTGTTGCAAAATTACACTTAAAACTGTCTGTTGCAACATAGACAGGTTTTATCTGTGTAATTCTCTACCACATGTGTACCTACTGTACTATTAAGTGCAGTAGTGCTTCCCTCTCACTCTCTATCAGAGGTGGAAGAAGTACTTTTTTACACAAGTTATAGTATACTACAGTGTAAAAATACTCAGTTACAAGTGAACGCCCTGCATTTCAAGATCGTAATTAAGTAAAAGTACAAAAGTATTAGCATTAAAAAATACTTGAAGTACAAAAAGTAAATGTACTCATTATGCAGATTGGTCTATTTCAGCATTTTAAAATAATGTATTAAATTGTTGGTGCATTAATGTATTCATCCTTAAAGGTGGGGTAGGTAAGTTTGAGAAACCGGCTCGAGATACACTTTGTGTTATACTCCATGGAATGCTCTTTACATCCCGATAGCAATGAATATCTTAAGTGCTTTGACAAAAAATCCATAAAAAAATGTCATCTGTGGAAGCTGTAATAGTGGCGAAGTCACGCCCAACTACTTCCGCCCCTTGTTTCTGAAAAATTATGTATTGACATCGATGGAGAGAGAAAACGTATCTTTCAATCCCGTTTGAATTGTGCCATAAATTACACATATGATGTTTGTCAATCTTAAAAAATAATTTCCATGTCAAAAAAGTCACAGTTTGTCTTAAAACTATTTAAATATAAGACTATGAAAAATACGCAACTAGAAAGACTACAAATCCCAGAGTCGTGTACATTAACGTTACACATTACACTCGTGTTACTCACCGAAACCTTGTAAAGCCGGTCCCGCATGCTGGCTCTTACGGAACCGACTTACGGGACTTCGCCACTCTATAGAGAGGCGAAGTCCCTCCCCTTCCGGTGGACCTCCATGGGACCTTATTTTGAAAAAAATTATGTATTGAAGTCAATGGAGAGTGAAAGATTATCTTTCGATCCCGTTTGAAATGTGCCACGAATTACACATATGATGTTTGTCAATTTAAAAGATAATTTTGCAAGTCAAAAATAAATAAATGTGTCGTAAAACTGTGAAGTAACACATTTGTTTGTGTGAAACGCTCAATGAACTACATCTCTGGTCTCGCAGAACAACACACGTCACCAAGATGGCCGTCACTACTGTCTTGTCAATAAAACGATTGACTACCCTCACTATCACCACAAGGAAACACGTCCAGAAGAATGTCATGCAAAGCTGCCTGCCTGCCTTCCTTTGATTCTCTCTGAACTGCCTGGTATTTTTAATGTTTAATGTCAACCATTTGTGCAGATAGCATGAAGTACAAAAGATCGCCGATGCTAGCGTTAGCATTTCTCCCCCGGGCTTAAATGGTGTATTATAGAATGATCACACCGGTGACAGTACTCTTCAAAGGGTTCACGAAATATGACTACTATTCTTACTGTTTAACATTTTGGGTTACTTAATGTTACTTCATATTAAGGCTAATGACAAGGCTGTAATGCTAACTAACGTGCTAGCTACTAGCTAACTTGATCCAGCCACTCCTGGTCCTTTCATCAGACGGGAAGCGAAAGAACGAGCAAGACCCATTGCTGGTATGATAACAACCTGGTACTAAGCACACAGGCATCTTGTTAAAGTTATCTTATCTTAGCCAGCGCTGATCTTATCTCTTAGTGGAGGAAAACAATTGTGACATCACTTACGCGACTCTGGGATTTGTAGTCTTTCTAGTTGATTATTTTTCATAGTCTTATATTTCAACAGTTTTACGACAAACTATGACTTTTTTGACATGGAAATTATTTTTTAAGATTGACAAACATCATATGTGTAATTCATGGCACAATTCAAACGGGATCGAAAGATACGTTTTCTCTCTCCATTGACTTCAATACATTATTTTTCAGAAATAAGGTCCCATGGACCGGAAGTAGATGGGCGTGACGTCGCCACTCTATAGAGGGGCGAAGTCCCTCCCATCTACTTCCGGTCCATTCTACATCTAATAAAAATACCGTTGATGTTTTTATTTGATTTTTAAAAGCCTCTCTTTTTCTCGAATGCATCACTTTTTACTCATTATCTCCCCTTCTTTCATTCATCAGCAGAAGCTGCAAATCAGAACGCAATACTGCAAAATCCCCTGCATCAATTAACCACAAAAACACTTTAAAACTAAGATGAGATCGTTTGGTTATTGTGAAAAATAATCAGGTGTTGTTCATTTTCATAATGTCCTCCCAAGCATTTTCTCTTTATATTTCAATTTTTTTATACACCTCATGAATAAAATCCCTATAAATCAAATTCCCTCTTGGTTTCTGCTTTTAATATCGACATATATCCGGGAGATCAAGTGGTCTCTCCTCTAGCAGAGGAATGGCAGGTGCCCATAGGCTGGTGGCGCATTACTGTGCTGCGATGGGTGTTTTTTTGTTCACGCGTCACCAGTAGGCGCTTCTTCCTGCGTACAAAGAGAGCAGAGCCCGGGGATGCGCACAATGTGAGAGTCTCTCCGGTCAGAGGCTGTCCTCTCTGCTTCTTCTTGCCAACATCTTGTGGAGTGTAATACCGGAGCATCCCGGGTGCAGCGCGGATCAATCCCAACTCCCTGACTCTGTGTGGGATTTACCGAGGAAGGGGCTGCAGTCAGTCCCATCCTCCAGGACCGAGAGGCGCACTTTACGGAGCAGAATTAAGAGCATACCGGAGCCTCTCCTCTGGACCAGAGTTACTGAGAGAAATGTCATCCGCTCACTAGAGCCACACTAAAACTGACACTGGAATACAATCAAAGCAGTTTAATGGAGAGGAACAACTAGAACAAGTAAGTATGCTTTTTTTTGTCATTCCCTGCATGAACTTTATTTGAAAATGTGTTGCAAATCCAATTTAATTTGCATAATAAAATAACCCCTGTGGTTTTATCTAATGATCTACATTGGGCAGTGTGTGCATGCTGATCGTGGGCACACATGCATGCTGCTGATAAATGCATTTCTACTCTAGTCCCAAATGGTTTGCTTGGTCCTACTGGGATTATACTGTTGGGGCTCATTTCCCTCATCTAGGACAAAGTCCATATGGTGCCGCTCTGCTCAGGAAAAGCTCTCTGTAACTTGTTTTAAGGCAATTATTCCCACAGAGGAATAGTCTATGTTTTAAGATTCCTACCCAAATTGTGATTTAACGTTTATAGTATTCAGATATTTCCAGTTTTTAAGTAAATCTCCAAGGGTGATGTTGCAGCCTAGTGTTATTTAATGAAATAGCTCAGCTCCATTCATGCAATTTCGCCTGGAAAAGCTCATATTTGGCCACCAGTGGTCTCTATACTTTTCCCCCCTCCCCACCCAGACTGCAAAAAGGACAGACCCAGCAACAGAAAAAAAAAAAAAAATGCTTCAAAGTATCCTTCAGCACAGAGATGGTAATCACTCTCTGCTCATGTTTATTTATAGATCCCTCACAAATATTGTTTAGCAAATGAGAGATGAAACGTGTCTTTGAAGAAATGCAGTGAATTATTCTATAAGGTTGTGCGGGGATGAGTTTGTGGCACCATTTGCTACGGAAAACCCTTTTGATTTGAACCTGAGTGGCAATTACACCGCACTGCCAGATTATTTTTCAACAGAGGTTGTGAAATGGGTTGAATATAATAAAAAAAGAAATGTAAAGAGCCTGCGTGAGTGTCTCCTGCTCCTCATGCTTGACCTCCAGTCATGGCTGTGTCTGGGATGAGGATCCAGGGGATGTGCCTGGCTGATGATAGGGTTGAGAAATGGATCGCTGCTCCCCTCTCCTTTAAGTGCACTTACTCTCCTGCCCCTGCGTTAGGCAGTAGCTGAGGGATGCAGCCGTGTTTAACATAGGACGGATTCACTGGGGGAGTCCGGCTGTTTTCCAGGGGTTATTTTTCCACATGAAAATACACAGCTGTCTCCAGAGCGTCTAGCCCAGATGTTTATCCATACGTGGTAAAAATGAAGTAAAAAAGACGTTAAAAGTTAAATGACAGCTTTCTTGCATTGTGTGAAAACCCTAATATTTGAGCGTAATGTTTCGGCCACATAACTCAGGAGGTACAGCTGGATGGAAAGGTCGTTGGTTCACTTTATAAGTATATAAGCAATATGTGAGTTATGCTGACTTGTATATGAAAAAGTGCTTTGAGGGGACTGGAAAAGCGTTATGTAAATGCAGTCCACTTAATGTCCCTGCTTCTCTCTGGAGTGAATAAAGCGGTTTATTCGCCATGTATTCATCGCTGTCCCCCGGCATTCAGACGTGACCTTAGTCACAGTTGTAATCATGCTTCCTTATTCATACATGCGTCAGAAGAAACATGTGTGAAGTGGCTCCTTGCTTTTCTTTAGCTTGCCTGAAACATGTAGGAAACCTCTCAGGAGAGAATATGCACACAGTTCTTTCATCAATGTTAATGTAACAGCTGGTTGGGTTGCAATTACATGAGAAGCCTTTCTGATTGAAATGAGCCATGGAAACATCTTATTATCACCTAAGATAATGCAAAGCTATGACGCAACCAATACCCAACAACACTTTTCATCTCACAATTTCGCTGCATCCTAAACCGTGAAATTCAGATATTAAACCCTGCCTTTATTTCCTAATGACTTCGCTAATTTCCTTTTTGATCCACCCTGGCTCATGTGTCAAAAACCAGGTCTGCCGTTACTCTGAGTGAATTAGGTGGCATCAGTGCACAGCTGATTGTGAATTCTTCATTCATTGGCGAAAGCACAGAGCAGCTGTGTATTCAGATGGAGTCGGTCCCCGGGTGGCGGATCCTCTCTCCCAGGTTCTCTTGCTGAGTGATTTAATGAAGATGGCAGCAGAAAGTCATAAAGACAATGAGTTAGTGGGAATGAATGCATCACATACGGTAGTGAAGTCATACCCTTTGTGCCACTGCTGTGCAATTTTGACAGGTTTTTTGTGTGTGCAGGATCTCATATATCTTGATGACCCAACTCTGTTTTGTGATCTGAATACAAAAACCTTGAGCCTGCACACCCCTGTGATACAAACCCTCCTCTGCTCCATCTCTTATTGGATTCTTTTTGCAATTACGGTGCCCTCCGGAGGGGGTGAAATGGATGCCTTTAACCACCTTTCCTATCAATTATGTGCCAAACAACAGCCCCGCTAACCAAGAAGTCATCTCATTTACTCCAGAATGCGTTTAGCCAATGACTTCCATTAGATTTAGCTTCTGCGGAGGTGAAAGTGTGATGCCTCATTACATTTGGCGGAGCAATCTTTTGCTCATCATTTCGAGGGAGAAAGAAAATGCCATCTCACCTTCATCGTCCCACGAAACCCCGGAGGGAGTTGTTTTCTCTGCGAACAGAGTTTTTTTGGGTGGGGGGATTTTTGCTAAAGCTTCGGCTTATGCAGTTCCTCAAGGTTTGACACTAGTGCAGCTTTTTTGAAGGTCAGAAGTGATACAATTCTCTGAGCTCAGAAATGGATTTTGGAGCATCATGAGACTCTTAAGCTCTCCTGCGAGAGCCACTGAAATAATTGTCAAGGCAAGGGTGACCCTTCTTACACAATGGTTGGGAGAAAAATGGCATTCCTTTTGGCCTTTTAATGAACCGTTAATGCTGACACGAATCAGCTATGATGGAAAACGCTCACAAATGAAAATGTCACTGCATGTTTTACAGGCTGCAGAATGAAGCTGTGCTCAGGGGCAAACATCCTTCATATCAGCAGAGACACTGTGCCATGAACTGTGTAACAGCCAACTTGCAAGGAAGGTATTTCCAAGAGATTTTCTTCTTAGGATCTTGAGGCTTCTTGGAGTGATTTGGGATGACGAAGTCGGATCCTAGCAGAAACGAATGGCAGTTAATATACTCCTCTCAAACTGAAAAATGCAGCACACATTTTTCTTTTTTCTGCTCTGGTAGAATTTCAATCCGTGTAATCCAATGTGATGGGGTTTTAGAGTGGCAAAACGCCCCAGAAATGTTGAAAGACACCAGGAAATCCACTCTAAATCTCTCTGTGCCTGCAATTACACCAGATGAGGAACAATTACCGGCGCCATGAGGGTCAAATAGTCTCCATTAAGTTGTGATCAGGCAAATGTAGATTCTACTGTGTCTGCTCAGCACCACCAAGCTGCTTCGTACTCAGCGATTATCTAGTCATTCTTTTCACATCAGACCACAGCCACAATCCTTCAGCCGCAAGTTTGTGAAACAAGTGAGTGGTTTAATATTTTCAAGAATTCTAAAGATAGCCCTCTGTTAATCCGCATAACAGACTTGTGTTGTAAGGGGTCGGGATGAATTCTTAATCCTGAGAGGCGTATCAGTTTCTACTTACTGTGATGTAGGTCAGGGCTTGAGCAAAGCCCCTCCTGTGCCACCGATACCACAGTTACAGTCTTATGGCAATCCCTTTGACCTCCTTATATGGAAAGTTTAATGGCCATTTAGGTCATTGATCACCAGTTAGATTGGATATCTGATGCGGCAATTATTGGATGATCAATCTTTGGGTGTAAGACCACGTGGCAGTAAAGTTGATGGGGGTGGCAGATATATGCAAGGATAACATCTTCTAACATGAACTTATATCAAGATGTATTGAAATTGTAGTATAAAGATTGCAATGTATGTTTTTGGATAGAATTAGCATTGGCGATTAGTGACAGACTAATACAACCAGTGGTACTCCAACAATTAAATATAATGTTTCCACAATGAAAGGGAACTCAGGAGGGTTAGATTCAAAATCGGTGCGTCAGAGGCCGAGATGTCCTCACTTGTTTCGGCCAAGCTTCAAAACCACTGGATACACACTTCCCATAATGCAACCATTAGCATACTTTCTACTCCACACCAACAGCATGTCAAGCAATAATGTATTTGGTTTTGTATATTTGCCTGGCCTCGCAGCCTCACCCGAGCAAAAAGCTAACGTTGATGCAATGCAATTGCGCTTTTACATCATGGACAAATATACTCACCTTTATCCAAGGTTTTTCCATCTGTTGTGTGGAATAAAAAATGCTTAAATTAAACATATAACAGGCTCAAACTGTCAAAACTACCAAAATAAGTAACTGCAATGTATACTTAAAGAGGCCCTATTATGATTTTTGGGGTTTACCCTTTCCTGTAATATTATATCGCGCTTCTATTGGCTAGCGCTTCGACCACTGTTACAGGATTGGCTAAGGGGCGGGACATCTCAAAGCGGTTGACCAATCACAACAGAGCTGGCCAGCTAACCAATCAGAGCAGACTAGGCTCAGAGGGTGAAAAGAGGTGCTGCAGCACAGGCAGTATGAGAAAAATAAAGAGCTTTTTGAACATTAAAACATGTGGACATGTCACAGTAGAGACACTACATACAAATATGAAGCTGAAAATGTGCATAATAGGGCCCCTTTAATTTCAAAATTAAACATGTGAATCTCCCAAAAATAAACCGTCTATTGTCTCAGATACGTTTTTGATGGCCTGAATTGTAAATTGATCTTGGTGTGTAAAATGGTGGGTGTTCCCATCTAAACCTTGTTTGAATTAAAGGTTTACAAAGAACAGTAAATATAATTATTTCAGCCAACAGTAATAGCAGACAAGGAAATACACCGTGTTGTTTTAGTATGTGGCCTTCTTATAGTTCTGTTGACGTTAGGACATCATGTGTGCATACTAAAATAAATACAATCAGTGTGCTTACATAAAGTCGCCCACTGAAGCTTTTGTTAAAGTATGAAGTGGCATTTTGTAGATTGCTGAAACACAGTCTGCCGGCTCCTATTAATAGTAAAATATGAAGAGTATCTTTTGAGGTCACTCCCTTCCTCACTTCCCTTTTAAAGCTGAACATTGAGCTTGTTAGGCGAGATGAAAACATTCCCATTTAGCAGCTGTTTATTCTTCTCTGCCACCTTTAAAAACACATAATCTTCAGGTTCCTGTCTGCTGTTCCCTTCTCAAGATTCACTTTCTCTTCCCTTTGAATATCTCCCGAATAATAAGAACCTATTATGTAACTTAGCAGTGCTATAATAATGTGTTTTTCCTAATGAATGCATGTCGTATTTGGATCAAAATGTCATATTCTAATCACATCCATAATTACTTTCCCTTCAGATTAAAATTATTGTATTCAAGGGAGGACATTCCAGTCGCAAGCAATTGGATGAGAGTCTTATTAGCCCTCGGCAACTCAAGATGATGTTTCCATGGAAACAAATTGTTCTGCTATCAATCACCGGATGCCTTGCAGGTAAGATATTTGAACACTTATTATATTTCACTCTCACTGCACTTGTTTGTGTCAGGACAACGTCTCTCCTAATAAACGTGTTCCATATTCATTACCATATTATTTTGCTTTTTTTTAAATGTCACAAACAAAAATAAGTCAGTAAGATTAAAGACTTCAGTTTAGAAATCAAGTTTCAGGAATAATTGAAGATCCTTAAATGGGATAGAAATGTAAATAAAACTGCTCCAAAAGATCAACCTTAATCATATTTAATATATCAAACAACCTGGTTATTTATACACTCTTTCATCCTTATTTTTCATATTGTATGACAGTATGGACTCAAGCATCACCATCTACAATGAATGATAGTGAAATAAAGGATCAAAGCATGTCCGTTGGCACCGTCACATCTTAAAAAGACACATTCTGCTTATTTTTTGAGAGCTACTTACTTTTTTTTTGTTTTCTTAATTTAGCTTTGAGATATATTTAAAGTCAAGCCCCAGAGCCTATTTCCACATATATCAAAGACAAGAGCATAACAGTGAATTGCAACCTTAGATACACCACACTGTCGATAGATGTAGAAAAACAGTGTTGTCAATGTTACAACCCATTACCGACTAAAATCTCATTTGTTTCAGATATAAAATACTTTACAACAAAGGTTAAGTGCCGGCTAAAAGCAGACAGCGGTACCCATTTCTGCTAATTAAGTCTAAATTACCACAGTGTATTAACGACACTGCAAACTGTATATTTAAATGACACTTTTCAAGCTAAAGCCTATCGAGGGATAAGAGTTGAAAGATAGCATTAGCTATACATTCCCCGAGCAGAACATCAGTGTCATTGTCTGTTTTAGCACTTTGTTGAATTGCATCGACCTATAAGTAAAATAGGGTTCAATTTAAAGAACATTTCTGTCTCCTGTAGCAATGTTTATGAATTGAAGAGTTTCATTCATTAGTGAGTAGGACACAGAATCAGAACGGTAACTAAATAATCTTTCTCGACCAAAAAGGTTGCACTGATTAAGTCGCAGTCATTAAATAAGCAGCGTTCGAGCATGATGTCCTTCACCGCTCTCGTCCTGCTTCACTTTTTACGGCACGCTGTCAGGCATGACCGAGAGTCCGATCCCATTCCTGTTTATGGCCTATAGTCCAGATCATTATCAGGATCCATGCAATGAATCCAGTCCCCTGCATTTTAGCACAATCCCCCTGCCGCCATGTCTCACTCTGCCCTTGTGTGGCCACCTGGGATTCGAGTGGGAGAGACACTCCAGCAGAATGTCAACCCTTGTTTCCAATGACATTGTAAATCCCAATGAATGGTATTCAAATTGGCTCATGGGTAATTCACGCCCAGTACTCAAGGGAGGCAGATCCAAGCGGGCTCACCTTCCTGGCAGACGAGTGTCTTGAACAGGGGCCTATAAGTGCCGGTTCTTACTCAGTGTTGTGATGGAAACCCTTGAAAATCACTACAGCTGATAATAACAATCATTGTGATGTCTGAAGTGACATGCTCTATATTCTGGGAGACAACGAAATACAATTACACCTTACATGTTAGGCTGCATGGCGTCTGCTCCAGATTCACACAACAGACATTTGAATACTCTCCTGCTTTGATTTGTGCATATCTATTCATTTGGTTTCAACCTCTTATTGAAGCACAATTACAGGTAAAGACTAGGCTACACTAATATTACAATTAGTGTACTTTTACTAGAATTCCAGTGTTAGCTGAGTCCGATTATGTCAGATGTGTTTGACAAATATTTCCGATAACTCTAGAGCAGTGACCATCAACTGGCGGCCCGTGGGCCACGCCAGACATTCGCACGACGGGGGTGACAGTGGCGTTAGTGCGTTCGCCCCCTACTAATTTTTGTTTTATACAACGTCTCGTGAGTAATGTGCAGTACCGGAGTCCAACAGAGAGCCCCCCCCCCCCCCCCCCCCCCCCCCGGTCAACAACTTCAAAATTCTGGGCTATATAAAAATCGCTGGCCTGTGAAAGTGTCTATTGGATAAATGTTGGCACTTGGACAAATGTAGTTGGTGATCCCTGCTCTAGAGCATTGTTTACATTACATTACATTTAATTTAGCTGAGACTCCAAATCAACTTACAATAGGTGGGTTCAACCATGAGGAAGCAAATACAAAAACAAGCATCCTGCAGGCACTTTAGCTATCAATAAGCAGCCATTGAGGCGCATTAGCTTCAATTTACGCCAAACCTTTCTAAGTGCTTTGTACAGAAGAGAGATTTTCTATCATAATATTTTTTTGATTGGCTGAGAAACAGAAACAGTTGGTTTTCAGTGTGCGAGGAAAGATGTGTAGTCTTTCTGCTGTACTGATTTCAATGGGGAGCTCGTTCCACCATTTTGGATCAAATGGGTAATTCTCGCCCAGTAAAGACCAACATTCTACATACAATTTTCTGAATTCATGGCATGATTTAATTTAAAGAAATTATGATTGATCCATAATTGTTTTCGTCTAATTATTAAAAAAACACTGCGATCAAAGGGAAACTAACTAAAAGAAGATCTGATGAAAGGAGAAGGATATATTTATTTTTGATGACAGATAGACAAAGCTTTACTCGAAGCTTCTTTGATCATTTACAAATGTTTAAATGTGAGTTGTCCACCCCAAATTAAATGTTTCTTTTTCTCTTGTTTGGTTTTCACACCATGTTCCAACATTTTATATATATATTTTTTAAAGTAACTTTTTTTTTTAAATTCATTGTATGATATAATTTAAAGAAATAATCATTGATCCATAATTGGTGTTGTTTAACAATTTAAAGAACACTGTGGTCAAAGGGAAACTAACAAAAAGAAGACCTGATGAAATAGGAAGGAGTTTTTTATTTATGATGACAGACCGACAAAGCTTTATTCGAAGCTTGTTAAACCAAACGTGTGTGGCTGAATTGATTTTATGTCATTCTAGTTCTTTATTATACCATATGTTTTTTAATGTGAGTGTTTCAGAATGACCCAAAATGTAATATTTGTTTTCCTGTTTGGTTTTCCGCTCCATTTTCTGATCAACCAAACCAAGATCGTCACAGGATTTGTTTCCATCTTGTGTTCATAGTGAAATATGTTTTGATTCCTGGACATATTACCACCGGTTATAACCCACGTGTAGAACTGCTAGCCACATGCTGCAATCTGTTAGCAGTAGGATATTAATTAGACCTACTCCGGCCGTCTGTTGGCTCTGCTTTCATTTAGCACCAGATTGTGTTCCACATCCTTTCCTTTTAAGCTGCTGGCAGATGAGTGCATCCTTATGGCCTCAATTAACCGGTGCATTGGAAGTATGACATAGATGTTCTGAAAATAGATTGTTCCGCTTTATTCATCATCCCTGTCACTAGCAGAGAGTAGTTAATTACTGAGGAAGTTTGTGAAAAAGGGCTTTCTGCAATTTTTGGTAGATTTGAGAGCCCAGCTTAAGTCCTCAACTATTATTATCTATCATTATGGCAAGTAATTTAGGGCTGCAACTAACCATTTTCTTTTCATTATCAATCATTCTGCAGACTTTTTTCTCATTTAATAAGGGAACAAATGTCCATCCCAGTTCCTTAAAGTCTAAGGTGATGTCTTTAAATGTATTAGTTTGTCAGTCCGCAGATATTCAGTATTCAAAGTAGGATAATCTCCATATTTGAGGCTCCTAAAAGTACATTTTCAAACAATCTTTGCATTAACGAAAACAATTGTCGACTATCAGATTTGTTGGCCATTATTTCACTTTCATTCGGCAATAATTAAATAATTGTTGTGAGCTTTGTTTAACTGCCTTAAACCTTTTCAACCCCCTTATCCAACTGATTATTCAAACATAGTAAAACATTATATCAGAATACCTTTATTAGTCCCACGGAGGGGACATTTGCGTAGTTACAGCAGGAAAAAGAGCCACAGACAGCTTGATGTTACATATGTTAAATATATGACGTGCATTAAAAAAAAGTACTAAGTTATGATATAATAAAAAATAGAAAGTTACATAATTTAAAAAAATTAAAATACACATCCTGTAACAGTTCTTAGGATTTACACAGTTACTAACGGCATCTATAAATATTGCACATCTAGCACATATTGCACATAGGTGGTTGGTATTTAACAGCAGCAAGACATGTTTGCAGTATTTTTTACTTACTTGTATTTTTACATGTGAGTTTTGAAGCAGGGAGATTATTTATATCGGACAGTAGGAACAATATGATGATTTATCACCATTGTCATTGTTTTTTACTTCACTATTCCACTATCACGTTCAACAAAACCAACACAAATAAATATATATATATATATATATATATATATATATATATATATGTCACATGAGCCGTTAATAAGTCAAAGTCAACTTTATTGTCAATATTTCAGTTTGTGTGTACAGACAGAGAGATCGAAATACCGTTTCCCACAATCTCGAATACGTAAATACAAATATGTATAAAATATGTATATCCTATATATACACAATCAACAGACACATTTACACATATGCACACATTAAGATAAACATAACTAACAAGGGTAAGTGGGATTAGCTCATTTCAATGCAGGATAAGTAAAGGGTTTGGATTGTCCTAATGCATTCATTTGCTTGTCTTTTGAAAGACATATTTAGTATAATGACAAAGTAATATACTTTGAATTGCTGTATTTCTGCAAGATTAACAATGTGTCCTCACAGTGTCCGTGTTTCTTCCAGTATCTCCCATAAGGTCAAAAAGACAATTTATCTGGCTTGAACTACCATAGACATTCTCCCCTCTCCCCAGCCTGTACAGAGGATGTCATATTACAAGGGCCAAGATGGAGGACGGAGCCTACTGACCTCATTTTGCCGATCGACTCCCCGGACCAGCAGGCTACCATCACATGCGAGGCAGAGGGGAGCCCTCCTCCGCAGTACAGGTAAATTACCACATCAAAGTTACATTTCCCACAAGCCTCGACTCATACCTGCTTTGGCTCCACATTGGTTTCACAGGGTGGAAATCCATCGCTGCTTAATTGCTTGTGAATCTTCATTGCTTTGCTTCCACGGAAATCAAAGGGTGTACCGATAACGTTGATAGCGATTGATTTGTTTAAGAACAACTGGACATAAATGCTCGAGAGATTATGCACCATCTAATGAAAAGTCAGGCATCAAAGAGCTTAATTGAGCATCCATTCCTAATTGAAAGAAAAAGCTTATCTATCTCAGTTGAAGTCATGGAGGCGCCACTGGGTTTGATGAATATGCCAACACCTCAGATGTGAGAGAGGTTAACTTTATTAATGATAAGATTCAAGCCACAGAACGGCTTAAGATGATTTGTAATATGGTGAGCGGCTTAAGAAAATCATTAGGAGAGAAAAGGAGATTCAAGCTACTCATTTGCACCGCAGATCCTTTGATATCTCCCCGGCTATTCCCCCGACGGGGCAGAGAGACTGCCTGAAAATGGCAGCTGGCTGTGTTTTTTATTTTTTGTGTGGTGTTGGATTGTGTTTCGGAGCTTGGTCAGCACCATGTAGATGCCCCGCCAGCAGGGGAGAGAGGCAATAACCTTGTGAGTGACATTCTGTTAAATGCTTACATTTCCTATACTGCGTCTGCTCTGAAAACACGGTCCAGGCGCAGCATCAGGGGGTATCATTATACTTGTTGTGCAACCGGAGCTATCTCAGTATAGTCAGCCGAAACCATCACTTGCATTATTTTACTCGCAACCAAAGAATATTCTCTTTCAGGCTCTCTGGGCAGCAGAAGGCTGCTTTTAGCACAGATAAAGGACCTAATGCTGCATTATTTACCTAGCATCAAACGACAGGCTTTAGAGACTAGCGAGATAACATATTGATCCTTTGTCCATCCCTCCTCTGTTGATCTTTCTATTTGTTTCCCATTATATATTTATTTGTTTAAAGGAATTTTCCTGACTAAAGATGTTGAGAGTTAAACGGCTTGTAAGTTCCTTGAGACAAAATATGTGATTTGTAACATTTGATTATTTTGTCTTGACTTCAATTAATTTGCTTTGAATTTAGAAGCACAAGTACCAGATGGATGTGTCAGGAGTAGGAGTCCCAAACAAAGTTAAAATACTGAAAAACAAAAGCTTTTCTAAAAATGACATTGTCATTAACGTTTTAAAGGAAATATATGTTGTCCTTTATTACGTTTCTTCACTATGTTTCACAAATATTCAAAGTCTGTGTTCATTGGTAAACCCAAAGTCAAAAGTAACATACAAAAATTACCCAACTAAGTAATTTAATTTAGCCTTTTTTAATCTTTATTTTTGTATACCCGTGAACATAGTCAATGAGCAAAATATCTTTCTCCCTAAATGTACAATGCAGTTTAATGTATGGTAACATAATCGTGTACAAAAAAGGGTAGGTATGTGTAAGCATTGATTGGCCAATATATGTGACCCGCTCTATCGAAATCAGTCGGAAGTCGCAACGGCTCATTTAAAAAATAAACGTGGATTTGCGTAAAAAAAGTAATTTTTCGGGGTTTGGGTGTTTTGTTTGATTTTAAATAAACAAAGTCTTGGCTTTCAGAATATGAAACTTTTATTTCCAAAATCACACGATAAATACATGTTTGAAGCTTGTAAAGGGAAGATGACAGCTCTCCACTCTTCTGTTCCTCAGCGCCGCCCCCCTCCCTCCGGCTGACATTATGAATGTAAGAGTATAGTAATCATAGATAACACGGCAGGGTCCGTTACAGTTTGTTTTCATCTGGTTTCAAATAAACAAAGTCTTGGCTTTCAGAATATTAAATTAAATTGTTTCGGCAAATTCAGATGATAAATACAACTTTGAAGCTTGTAACGGCATAATTACAAGCGGAGAACGGAGTAATTTAACGTCACAGCAGGCATAACAACAGCCGGTGTTTCTCGTGAGTGTTTTCCCCAGGAAACAAACACAATACACACAAATGCAAAAATACACAAACACACATATATATATATATATATATATACACACACACACACACTCGCGAGCTTCCCCCAGACCAGTAATCCAAACCAAAATATCTTCCCTCCGTAGTATTTTGTTCATTTGCTAACCGCTAATAATCAATCAGATCGATCCAGAAAAGAGAAAACTTTGAAGGCCTTTTTCTCAAAATGATGACTCGGTGACAGTCATTATATAATGCGACATATTTTGCTTAATATTTGAAGTACAACAACAATCCTGATATCATCAGAAAGCTAGGAATCTCCTATTTCCAGCAGTGTATACAACTCAAAAAGTGTCTTCGGGTCAATGCGACTGATTTCGATGGAACCGGTCACATATTAGACATGTTACTTTACAAGGCAAATTGTCAAACGTGGACAAAAAAACAATCTGCTACAACTAAGTTCTTTGATTTTAAATCGTAAATAATGTGAAGCAGTCAGTATTGCTCTGTTTTTATATAAAGCTGTTGCTTCACTTCATCCCGCTCCTCTCATGCACATCTAGTGTGGCTCCTATTTCCATTTTGAATGTGTCCTAAGAGCTGTAGTAATGGGATCCCACTAACTTTCCAACATTCTGGAGCACTCGTCTTTCATCTAGGTCAACTCACTGTATGCTATCAGTTATGAATAGACAAATCTGAAGCCAGGTTTAAAAGGAAGCATTGAGTGAGCAAACTCTCGGCACGAATGATAGACATTTCTGATAATGCTTTTAAAAGACACTACATTTCTACCCTTAATCTCACTTTGAGGTAAAGAGTCATATCTTTTCTGCTTTATTTGGGTTGCATCAGTTTTTCTGACGCTGATCGTCCTTGACTTGTTTCACTCCGAGCGAGGAGAGGACATTTTCATCCAGATGATAAAATAGAGAGAATAAATATCCGTGACAATTTATTTCACCAACGCTGAAATTAAAACCTCAAAATGTCCTGTGCTGAAAAAAACGGCCTGTAGGAATTTGTCATGCTGTGACTTTCACCACACTCTGCAAACTATGGGCCTAGACCCTGCAAATGAACAGTATTTGTTTAATTAGATATGCCAAACGAGAGGGTATTACATTCAGAGCTCCACACTTAATTTCCTCAGTTACTGCAGCTATTAGGAAAAAAAATCATCCATTTCGTTTTAATATCCATAGAAAAAATTAGGTCACACACTATTGAATTTTCCAGAGAAGATGCCGTTAACCCTTTGGTGCCAAAGAAGCGTTGAGGACATCAGTTCTCTAGCAGAAGGGTGTTACAGAAACACTGTATTTCCTACAGTGATAATGGATATTAAAATCATTCATTAGATTTTATCTGGATGAATTGGCTAAATATAGGCAAGGCCAGTTTATTATAACAGTTTTCAACACAAAGGCAATTCAAAGTGCTTTACAAAAATGAAAGACATTAAGAGCATACAACACATTAGAAACATTGTGTGCACCTATCATGCTATTTTAAGGTTATGGGTCTCAGATATATAAAAAAACATGTCTATGATGTGTTTTACTCAAAATACAAACAGATCATGCATTTTAGACATCCCTCTATTCCAGCCCTGTTAGAGAAACGCAGATTTTGAGTCCTTAGCTTGAAAAAAAAGCTAATGCCTGATCAGAATTCTACCAGAGATAAAGTTACATTCTGCTGTGATAATTCCGCCATCCTGTTCTAAACCACACCAACGATTATTTCTGAAACAGTATGGAGCTCAAATGCTTTTTCTCTTGCAGGTTTACCACAAGGTGAGTTCTTTTTTTATTTCCTGTTTTTTAAACACATGTGCTCTACATTACATTACATTACATTTAGCTGACGCTTTTATCCAAAGCGACTTACAATAAGTGCGTTCGACCAACAAAATACAAACTTGAAGAAAACAGAATCATATAAGTACATCAGGTTTCATAGAGCAAAAACATTTCAAGTGCTACTCAACTGGCTTTAGATAAGCCAGCCCTTTATTAGTATATAAGTGCTTTGTTAATAGTTCTATCGCTCGAAGTGGAGTCGAAAGAGATGAGTATTCAGTCTGCGCCGGAAGGTGTGCAAGCTATCTGCTGTCCTGATGTCAATGGGGAGCTCATTCCACCATCTTGGAGCCAGGATAGCAAACCCACGTGTTTTTGCTGATGGGAACTTGGGTCCCCTTCGCAGCGAGGGTGCAGCGAGCCGTTTGGTTGATGCAGAGCGGAGTGCACGTGCTGGGTGTACAGTTTAACCATGTCCTGGATGTAGGAAGGGCCAGATCCATTCGCAGCATGGTACGCAAGTACCATTGTCTTGAAGTGGATTCTAGCAGTTACCGGAAGCCAGTGAAGGGAGCGGAGGAGCGGAGTGGTGTGGGAGAATTTAGGAAGGTTGAAGACCAGACGAGCCGCTGCATTCTGGATGAGCTGCAGAGGTCGGATGGCACATGCAGGTAGACCAGCCAGGAGGGAGTTACAGTAGTCTAGGCGTGAGATGACGAGAGCCTGGACCAGAACCTGCGTCGCTTTCTGGGTCAGCTGGGGACGCATCCTCCTGATGTTGTAAAGCGTGTATCTGCAGCAGCGGGTTGTAGCAGTTATGTTTGCAGTGAAGGACAGGTTGTTATCTAGGGTCACACCCAGATTCCTTGCAGTCTGAGTCGGGGAAACAACAGAGGTGCCGATGTTGATTGTTAGGTCAAGAGTGGGACAATCTTTTCCCGGAAGGAAAAGCAGTTCAGTCTTGTCAAGGTTGAGCTTGAGGTGATGATCAGACATCCACTGAGAGATGTCAGCTAGACAAGCAGAGATGCGTGCGACGACCTGGGTCTCTGAGCGGGGAAAGGACAGAATTAATTGGGTGTCGTCAGCGTAGCAGTGGTATGAAAAATCATGCGGGCTAATGACTGATCCGAGCAAGTTTGTGTACAAGGAGAAGAGGAGGGGACCAAGAACAGAGCCCTGAGGGACCCCTA